CTCCAGACACTTGCAACTCTCAGCTTATGATCCCCTCAATACATCTGTTACTGAAATTCCACTGCAAATACGATACAAAGCACAGTATTCCCTCTCGGATTTAGGAAACTCCATATTGTTTTTCTGCTGTTAACAGGAATGTGTCCATGCCCTATACACTCACCCCTCAAGATACTCATAGCACAGATACTCTCTCACCCACAAGTGAGCTGTTTTCCCCAAGGTGATTGTGCAAAATTAGTAGGTGAAAATCTCTTCAATGAGTATGAATTTTGGTCAATTGAATTTAATCCCAGGGACAAGCTTGAGTTCATGGTAGGGCACTGTAGAATTACTACAGACACAGAACCGAGCGATTGTCTGCGTACATTTGCCATACTGACTCAGAAGACCTTCTGCCTTGGTAAAGGGGTATCACTCTGCCAACAGCTTAAGGACACTACTTCTGCAGATGACTACCACAACTTTACTTCTGAAGCAAAAGAGCTGTCATGTACAGCAAACCCAAATGTTTCCAGATTGGAACACAAAAACAGTCTTAATTGTGTCACAAGTTCAAAAAAGCTGACATCTATTGAACTCAATCAAAACTACAAACACACTATAAATATTGTTTTCCACTTATGTTTTTCCAATCAAAGTTTAGGTTATTTTTAAAAGTCTGCATTATATATCTTCAAAGACACCTGATATTTTAAGTTCAGAGGATGAAGATGTTAACTTTTTTCTTTCTACAGGATAAGCAAGTTGCAGAAAAGCAAAACAGAACTAAAGCATAGAAGAAAATTATTGTAGACATTCAAGTAATTTACAAGAGAAGAACCAGGGGGTTTGTAACTTTTTTTAATATTATCCTTGTACATTCGTATCCTGTTGAATATGTGAGGAAACAGCTATTCTGCATTTAATATTCTTTGTCTCATTTCAACTTCAGTTATTTTCTATATGCATCAGATAAAAGGTACCATAATTACAGCGGCATCATGTTGCCTTTCAAAATTTAAGTTAATCCCCAACTATTCATCGTTAAACAACTAATAATCAAGAATATGCAACAAGGAGTTTACCTTTTACACCACCAAATGGACCATAAGTCATGTTGCAAGCAGTTCTCTGAAGATTGTGCTCATACATCAGTTTAATTTGATACTGGTTCCCATGTTCCACATTTCCCAGAGTTCCTACAAAAAACAAAGGGTACATATTCATGTCTTTGATCCATGTAATGTGGAACAAGTAAAGGAGTATCAGTTTGAACAACCTGAAAAACTATAACTTGCTCCTAGTGACTTTGTGATATACTCATACTACTTATACTACTGCTTTCTTAAAAAAAAAAAATCACCAAGCTACAAAATTCCTAAAGGCCAGAACCAGAAATAAGGTCTCATTAGACTAAATATGGTATAAAGACTTGGCAAGAGGCTGAGATTTTATTACTTAAATGTGTTTTTCTTCATGTTAGGCACATCTCTAAGACAAGAAAAAAGCCTGTTCAAAAGGGGAATTCTTACGATTCTCTAGTTATTCAGTGAATTTACTTTATCCAACAGCCAGCCTCAGCTGTAACAGTCTTTGTATCCAATTAAGCTGTAGCTAGTCATTAGCTATAATCTGACCAAGCTATGCTTAGGGCACATTTATCACTTGCCTTTACTTTGTCTGAAATTCAATGCAGTGATCAACAATGCAAAGATGAGACACAAGCATATGGCAATAAAAACAATTTTAATACACACATCACATTCTCTGAAAAGGTCTGCATGAGCTTTAATGTCCTGACTCCTCCAGGGAACTAGAAGAAACTCAAAAAGTCTTTCTAAAGAAACTGAAGTTAAGCTCTGCTTTTGATAATCAAAAGTATTTCCTGCCCGCCACGAAGAAAAAGTTCTGCATCATCTAGAGTAACACTTAAGGACTAATACCAGCAAGAAAAAAAACAACCTTACAGAACAGTCACATCAGCAGGGAAAAAGGTGTTTGGGTGAGTGAGATCTAAGCTAAATTCTACCACATCTTTAAGTACACAGAGATGATTCCAACATCTTAAACAAGCAGCTATGAAAGATGTGTGGCTTATGCTAACCTTTTAGGTAATTTCTCCAACTGAAATCCAATATAGCTTTCAAGCAATTACCCTAAAGCAGGCCCACGTTAGGGAAAGGATTGGAACAGACATGAGGAAAAAAGCCCTGGCTGGGTAAGTAACTAGCTACGTAGCAACACCAGAGGGAAAACAAGTTAGAAAGTGTGTATGCGGACTGTAATACGATATCCAGGCCATGCTTTAGCCAGACCTGAAGGATGCTTTCATTTGTTGAGGAGAAGCAGTATAGTTATTTTGACTAACAGACAGGGCAACACGTATAAAGCAAGCAAAAACCCTGCTTTGTGAAAGTGTAATCTACCATGGAAGCATATAGAAATACTGATCGTTGTTTCTCAAAGGAGTTTGTTTGAAAGTACCTGTTCAGAAGACAGAAATTACCACTACAGCATGAATGCTTACAAGTTAGTATGAAAAGTCTATCAAAGCATCATAAAACTTTATTTTTATTATTAAACGCTTAAGCCATGTAGATCAGACCAAACAGCAAACTGGAACTAGAAAAAAATTCTAGACTGACTTATTGTTGTATGCTGTCAATCCAAATTTTAAAATAAATTGTTTTAATAAAAATAGTACTGGTAGGCTACAGTCCTAAGACGTAAACACTGTCACAGAGAAGGGAAAGTATGACAAGTGCAATACACCTCAAAGTAGATGTACTCAACAAAGACCAATTTTACAGGTGTCTCTAGAGAAGACAACTAGAAGGCAAAGAGAATCTGGAAGGAGAGCATATGTTTGTAACCCATCTGCCTACAAGCTGTGACTAGGAAGCCAGCTGCTCCTTGCATACAAGACTATGCTCTTATAATGAAAGGAGCCACAGCTGCTTCTGCATGGAGAAAATGATCACTGTATAGTTGCCTACTGAATTTTCAAGATCAGGGTACAATCAATAGATCTCTTAAGTCTGTACTTTGCTTTAAGCATATATTAGAGAGAATTTCATGCACAGGATAGGTATGTTGTGACTTACCTCTTCACATACACAGAGAACACAGCATTTTGAATTTCCAGACAAAGGCAGTAAAAGAGGATTTAAGAAAACAGTAGTTTCCCCTTCTTACCAGTATTAACCTCCTGTTTTCTCTTGGGCTACATTACCAACGTTCTGGCTTTGTAAGAAATTATCTGGATTTTTGAGTTCAGAAATAACTGCAATTGTTTCATTTTTAACGAGCTAAGTAAGTTGCCATTAAATAACCATCTGTTCATTAGCATGTTGGACAGTAACACCCACTCCTAAAACTGCAATGAGAACCAGTTGTTCACAAGCACCACCAACCACAGACCATCACACATACCACAGCATCTCAAGCACTGAGCAGATCACCAAATCTCCGTTAACCACTGGGAAATATCTAGGCCTAATTGCTAACATTTCCTCTCCGTGCATGAGTTTGAGTGAGAGAACATGACTGCAGCTCCTCAGGGATGATGAACAAACACAGTAGGTACTAAGTTTAGTATTAACCTAATCCAAGCTTTAGAACACACTTAAAATCATTGGAAAGCTTGTATCTGTAAACTAACCTGAAACAGCATACACACAGAGTTTTCGGCAATGCAACACAGCCAGATGAAGTGCTTCAGTACCACTGTAAAGAAGGTTAAAAACAACATTGTTTTCAGATAAATTTGACATAAAACACATACAGGATGAAATACAAGTAATATGTTGGAATTACTTTCAGGTGTGGGCCAAATTCAAAGGTTCAGGTGTTAGATGCCAGCATAAAAACTCAGAAGTACTGGTCCTCCTAAACTGACAGCAGTATCTGAAGTTAATTTCAAAATTAAAATGCATCCTTTAAGAACATATGTTTAATAGGCTGTAAGAGAATCTACTTTAAGAGAACTTTATTTTAGAAATGAGTTCTTGAAGGATTCATTTTCATTTTGAAATTAACTTCTAATACTGCAGCATGAACTTTATTTTTAAGATGAGAGAAAAACCTGTACTAACCACAAAAAAGACGTGTGCTCTTAGACCAAAGGCCACAAGCTGAAAGCCCTACATAAGTTGGAAACTGTTCTTTTATTCGTCAGTAACCCTGTGCTGGAGTTCTAACGCCTTACTCAGAAATGATCTACAGAAAAACATTTTCTGTAGTTCCAGCAGAAGAACTTCCTCTGCAGGAAATGCTACTTGGGTTTGGGGGAAGAATGTGAGCATAGGATTGTAAGTTTATGACTTGTGCCTTATAGTTTAATTAATTTAGATTCCACACAGTTGGTATAAAAGTAAATTTTTAAAAAGTAATGTACATGGTTGCTTACTAATACTTGTTTGGAGGGATGATCTTCATATCCATTTGGGTTTTTCTCTCATTTTTAAAATAAAGTTCTCCTAAGTACATTGTCTCACAGCCAACTAAATATAAGCTAAATATAAGGCTTCTTCCTTAGAGTCATAGTATCTCTCCTTTACCTACTTATTTCCACTAAATTCATTGGAATTAAAGATCTGCAGCCCTCTATCGAAGCCAAAACAACTCGCCAATATTGCATCTTAGATCATAACAAGTTACTCAAATTTTCTTAACAGCTAAAAAAGAACTTTCAATATGAAGTTTTCTCTGTTCTACCTACTTTTAAAAAATGGTACAAGTAGCTGGACAGTTACCCTCCACGTACACCTCAAGTAAAAATTCTCTCATATCAAGATGATTCAAGAAGCAGATCAAATGCATACTACAGTATTCACAGATGTGCTTAATAGTTGTCTATCAGGAAACTGAAATCTCATCCCCCAAAGCAAAGACAGAAAATCACATCTAAGCCTTAAACAAACAGCAACACAGCCTGTTTTGACTTACGAAACGAATTTTCCCACTTCCACTTGCAATATCGGTTCTCGCAACTGCACTTCCAAGAGCAAGTCTTCAGGTTGTACTCCATCTCCAGGTTTCACAGGGTGGGGATTAAAGATTCGGAGATACCCCATATAACTGCCCACAATAATTTTATCTAAAAACACACCAAAACAAAACACAACAGAGATTACAGAATACAATAGCACATGTGGAATTCAATTTGCTGCAGAAGTGCTTCAAAGACCCTAAAAAATATAATATTTACACAATTCAATTCATGTTGATTATACTGTCTTCTAGGTTAAGATTAGCAATTAGCCTTTTTGCAAATCCATGAAAACCTGTCAGCAAAGGGTTCCATATGGTGGTGACACTGACCATTGTTACTATTCCACCATTTTAGATTTATGTTCACATTCCTTAAAAAGCCCCATTCTGATTTTGAAGAGTACTTCAGACGTTCAGCTTCTACATCTTAGATTTGTACATACACATACCACATCCGCAGAAGTGTAAAATGTTAAAATTAGGACTGATGACTTTTATCCGAAATGCAAACTAAAGCCAGATAGTAATTACATCAGGTCAACAAAGCTAGACCTTGAGATCACCTACTTTGAGACAGGCTGATTATCTCAAAGGAGAATGCCATAGTTATATCAGAGTTATTTTGGAATCAGTATTTTAGGCAAGTAGTCATTTGGTTGTTAGTGAATAACAAAAAATTCCTAATGAAAAAAAACCAAAGAGGTCCCCTCCCATGGTAACAACAAAAAACTCAAGTTGGTTGCCAGTACTTATTTCCTCTAGATGTAGGTGATCATATCAACGCAGGTAGAAATCAAAACCACTAAAACTTGTCCACAAGTCAGAAGAACATACAAGTACTCCTAAGTCAAGTTCACCAGGCTCTAAAGGCTTGGCATAGTTCCGCAGGACCCCACGTCAAAAGCTCAGAACAGCTCCTTGTTTCCTCTCTTCTTCAGCCACAAAAAACTTGTAGCCCCAAGTGCCTCATTCAGAAAATACTGAATTCCCCACTCTCATCTTTTCCTCAGTTCAGTAACAAGCATTCCACCAGCAGTAAACTAAACCCATTTCAGTTACTAATTCCTTAAAAATACTTAAGTTTAAGTGAGGACATTTTGGCCTGCAGCTAAGCAATTGCAACCAGCTGATTCACTTTTAGTCCTGAACTTCCGAAGAAAAAGAGCCCAGTCTAAAAACAACGAGAAAATAGAGAGTCATAGAATCATTTAGGTTGGAAAAGACCTTTAAGATCATCAAGTCCAACCGTTAACCCAGCACTGCCACAGCCACCACTAGACCATGTCCCTTAAGTGCCCCACATCTACACATCTTTTAATACCTCCAGGGATGGTGACTCAACCGCTTCCCTGGGCAGCCTGTTCCAATGCTTGGCAACCCTTTTGGTGAAAAAATTTTTCATAATATCCAATCTAAATCTTCCCCGGTGCAACTTGAGGCCATTTCCTCTTGTCCTATTGCTTGCCACTTGGGAGAAGAGATCAACATCCATCTTTTCTTGGAGAGAAGTCTTGACTCCTATGTGACTGTTCCTAAGTGCTCCCGTGGTTTCTAACACATTACTAACCCTTGAGTCTTTTTCTGCTGCGTGGATCTCTATCCCGTCTCCCCTAAGCCAGCAGACCAAGGGCCTCACTAGCACACTGTCCCTCCACCATTAGCACGCCACTCCCAGGCTTTCCTCTAGCAAGCCTAGTTTTATCCCTTTCCCTCTCCAAATCTGGTTCAGAGCTCTTCCAATCCTCCCTGCTGACTCCTAAGCAAAGGTTCTCCTTCCTCTTTGCCACAGGTGCACCCAAACTGTCACCAGCAGGCCTGCTGCTGCGTAGGGCAACCCACGGCACCTTTCTCAAAGGGGGAAAAGGTTACAAACTGTCACCAGCAGGCCTGCTGTTGTGTAGGGCAAGCCACGGCACCTTTCTCAAAGGGGGAAAAGGTTGCTCATGAGCTAGCAGCACTCATTGACAGGGCTTTAAGCTAAACTTGAAGGGGGAGAGGGATAATATCAGTCTTTAAACTAAACTTGAAGGGAGAGAGGGATAATATCAGGCTTGCCCAAAACAAGCTGAGAGCACCTGAAGAGCAGCAGAAAGAGATTCCAGCCAGTCAGCTTCATCAGGAGCACAACTTAAATGCCTCTACGCAAACACACATATGGGGAATGAACAAGAGGAGTTAGAGGTGTGTCATGGGGAATGAACAAGAGGAGTCAGAGGTGTGTGCACCTGCAGGATCATGATCTTATTGGCATCACAGAGACATGGTGGGACGAATCCTATGACTGGAGTGTCAGAAGGGAAGGATACAGGCTCTTCAGGAAGGACAGGCAGGGAAGGAAGTGTCACCCTCTATGTCAAAGACCAGCTGGAGTGCATGGAGCTCCACTTGGGGATGGAGGAGGAGCTGGCCAAGAGCTTATGGGTCAGGATTAAAGGGAGGGCAGGCACAGGTGACATTACAGTGTGGGTCTGCTACAGGCCACCTGATGAGGAAGACTGAACAGATGAGGCCCTCTACAGAGAGATACAAGCAGCCTCACATTCACGAGCCCTGGTCCCCATGAGAGACTTAACCCACTCTGGTATCTGTTGGAGGGACAACACAGCAGGGCATAGGCAACTCAGGAGGTTCCTGGAATGCATTGATGATAACTTCCTTGTCCAAGCAACAGAGGAACCAACAAGGAGAGGCTGATGGGGAATGTGAAGTTCAAAGGCAGTCTTGGCTGTAGTGACCATGAAACAGTGGTGTTCAAGAACGCTAGGGCAGTTAGGAGGGTGCAAAGCAAGCTCACTACCCTGTACTTCAGGAGAGCAGACTTTGGCCTCTTCAGGGATCTCCTTGGTAGAGTACAATGGGATAAAGCCCTGAAGGGAAGAGGGGCCCAAGAAAGCTGGATAATATTCAAGTGGAACAGGTTTCCCAGAGAAGTTGTGGCTGCCCCATCCTTAGAAGTGTTAAAGGCCAGGTTGGACAAGGCTTTGAGAAATGTGATCTAGTGGAAGGTGTCCCTTGTCCATCGCAGGGGAGCTGGAACTACATGATCTTTAAGGTCGCTTGCAACCCAAACCATGCTATTATTCTATGATTGAAAAACCCAATAATCTGCCAGAATTCTGAATAGTCTTTTCCTAGTGGAAAAAAAATATAATTTATATAAAAGCTAACTCAAGTACCTCTACTGAGCAAAACCAGAGCTCCAAGATGAGCATGAATGTATCAGAGAAAGACCCCAAATATTCCTTAATTTAAAAAAACATACACACAAGAATGTCAACAAAGATCATGAGCTGCTGTAAATATGTCCTCGGACATCACTTCAGTTGCACACTTTATTTCCACATTATTAATGACTACATAGAAAAGCAAGGTTTATTCAAGCAGTCACTTATTCCAATGGTCCCTTATCTTCCGGGCAGAAAAGGATGCTTGTTTTTCAAAATACTTGGTTTATTAGCTCTCACCTTCCTTTTTTTTTCCTTAAGTTTTCTCAATGACTTACAGTGTGTGTTTGCTCCCATGACTAACTGAAAAAGTTTTATTTTAAAGATATCTACCATTGATGGAATAAGACATAAGACAAATTACTACTCAACACAAGAAAGAATTAAGATGTTTAGAAACCTACAAATACAAAAAGACAAACGGCACTGAACATCATCTTAAGCCTACAAGGACACTTTAAAGATGGAAGACTTTAACCAGCCTACCAGCCTGGCTAACAAGCTTTCAGCATGCATTGGTCAAAGCAAACCTGCTACTGTAGCTTAAAAGTCAGCAACCATGTAATTCTGAACTTACCCTGTCCACTGCCACTGTTATCAACATCAGCAACACACAGGCAGCCGTGGTCAAATTCTTCTTTTTCTCCAAGTGTGGTGGACCACCAGTCTCTAGCTTTGAACAACGACATTCTTTACTGAAAAAGAAAGAAATCATTCTTAAAAAGCGTACACTACTACATATATAACTGTTCATATAATAAACAACTTTGTTAGCAACAACTTTTGTTGAGTATATTTAATCTCTTAGCTTCACATTGCTCTACTGTGAGCTGAATAAATGTCAGCATCCTGTGCCTTCGGTTTCTTTATGTAGTTCAGAAAGCAACTTTAGGAAGCTTCCGGTCATTAGTTTACAAATTACTTGTGATAGGCACTGCTAGTTATATGAAGAAAAGAAAAAAACAGCTTTTTTAACTGTTAAAAGCCTCTGCAACAAGCATTAAGAACGCAATACAAGCTTTCAAAGTCACAGAACTGAGCTTTTCTCTCTCTCACCAAGGAATATCAGGAAAAATAGATTCTGATGCAAGTCTTCTGCAAGAAAATTTATTTTTAGCAAAGCAAACGAAGACATAAACAGACAACATCAAAACCACCGCTGAGTAATCGCCTTGGAGATGCCCTAGTGACACGACTAAAGAACTCGGTCAGATCGGGCACAAATCAGCTTTTCTGCTCCCTCCCTGCTGTTATTTTAAGGAGAAGGGAAGAGAGAGGAGGCTAATCCTTCTGCAGGCAGCTCGACAACCACATCACGCTATTTCCAAACTCACAGCTCCATGCCTGCGCTCTGCCGGGAGCGGGACAAACCTTACGGGAACACACGGGACCCCACAGGGGAGGCAAGGGGCAGCCAGGCAGCGCCGGCTCTTTCCAGGAAGAAGGAAAAGCGAGGGGCACAGCCCGTGTTTTTCTTGGGAACAAGCACCGCCAGCAAGCCCAGGCCTTTCCTCTTTAAAGGAAACCGTGCCCGGCAAACGAAAACACTTCTTTTTTTCATTTATTTTTTCACCTTAGGCGGTTACCGTCGTTACGCTGCAACCTGCTGCAGCCGAAGGCAGCGCCGGCTCTTTCCAGGAAGAAGGAAAAGCGAGGGGCACAGCCCGTGTTTTTCTTGGGAACAAGCACCGCCAGCAAGCCCAGGCCTTTCCTCTTTAAAGGAAACCGTGCCCGGCAAACGAAAACACTTCTTTTTTTCATTTATTTTTTCACCTTAGGCGGTTACCGTCGTTACGCTGCAACCTGCTGCAGCCGAGCGCCCCGGGCAGGCAGCCTCCCTTCCCGGCGGGAGCCCCTCGCTCAGGCGAGACCCGAGGTAAAGCGAAAGGCGAGGCACAGCCCAGCAGCGGCATCACAGCCCCCTC